GATCACTGGAAACCAGAGTCACAGAGCTAATGCAGATCCTTCCCATTCAGGGCTCAGGCAATCTGGTCCTTAGGAGGATCTTTATTTCTACCCAACTCTGTTAGTGCGATCCCAAAGAGAAAAGGAAAAGGGCAGGTGCCCGAGGTAAATTGCCTTTGCCCTTCCGTGGTGAATCCGTTAAGGCAAATGTGCAGATGGGGAATTGTTCTTCTGCTACTCTTACTCAAAACTCAAGTGTAAGGGGGGTCTTTGGGATGGGCATTGCCCATGAGACTTCAAAAACCAGATAAGCTCCTGAAAGCTGCAGTGGTCCATCTGTATGTGCTGGGTCCTCGGGTTGGGAGCTCACTGCTGCTATGGGGAGACAGCTCACCTCCGGACACTCACTAGCTGTCACTCCTATATTCTCCGATGACCTATGGCAGATTAGTGCCACTAGGAAGGCTACTGCCCTTGAGAAACAAGTCACCTGCCCTTGGCTGAAGACCAGACTTGATTCTAAAGTGAAGGAGCTTCTACATTCCTCCTGACTAACTGGAGCAACACAAACAGCTCAGTTGAGTAGCCCTTGTGAGGCAAGGATGTGGGGAAATAAAAGTCATCAAACAAGAGATCATGACAATAGAACTTTGAAATTTTGAAAGCAAAAGTTGCCCCTGCCTTCCCTGAGGAGTGCATGTTGCTTTCATGCTGGGACCACAGTCTCTTAGGGCCCTGTGGTTTCTATGGGGCCACCAGCTCCTACTCCTGGATTACCGGGGGTTTTGGTGAAAATGCCCTTCTACTATTTCTCTCATGCTTGGTTGAATATATTGCCTCTGTTTGTAATGCAGTCCTCTTTTCTTGATTTAAAAAAAAATTTTTTTTTAAAGTAATCTCTATGCCCAACGTAGGGCTGGAACTCACAACCCTGAGATCAAGAGTCACATGCTCTACTGAGCCAGCCAGACACCCCTAGATTCTTGACATTGTAAAGAAACAGACTTTTATGTAATAATGCAATGCTATTAATGACATTATCATGATAAAGCAGAATATCTTCTATAGGGGACAACGTAAGTCCCATTTATTTCTACTGAGAAGGTACTAACATCTGCTTTTTGGATCATATTATTTCTGTCTGCTTTTCCTGAAATGACTGGCCCAGCTTCACGGCAGCCTTCCACATTTGCTGCCATCTTCTCGGCTTGGTGTTTCTACCCTAGTTCATTCTTGATGACTGCTTCTTGGAGCATTTCAGGAAAAAGAAATTTTTTTCTTTATAACTTAACTATATTTGATCTTTTGTTTTTAAAACCATTCAAGAAGAGGAGCATGAATGGTCATATCTCAGATGTTGTCTCCAGGCTGTAAGCACATTTGTTCTAAAAAAAGAATAGAATTAGATTTTTAAATATTACACTGCATATTTATTAAAACACTCTGGATCCTAAATAACAGTTACTTTAAAATCATTATATTTTCTAACATCTTTACCTGTCAACACTATACTTCAAGATTCCCACATTAGCGAAACACTGTGAAATGTCTTACTGCTGGTGAAGCTGGTTCATACCATCCATCCTGAGGAATAAGCTGATTTTCTTTAATGGGGTTATTAGTTAATTTAACTTTTCTTTCTCTTGCATTTTTATTTCCAAAGTTGCAAAAAAATTTTTTTTACACCATTCTTCCATTTATCCAAAGAAGAAGTTATGACCCAGGTAGAATAATGTGGGGATAATAATATATAGCAAATCACTCACTGCTACCCTGATTATAATGAACAAAAAGCTTTCCTTTTTTCTTATATGCTTTATCCTTAGAACGGACTAATAAGTAAAAGTATTAATTTTAGAGATGACAATCTGAAAAATAAGGCATTAAATAAGTTAAGCACCCCCCCAAATCAAACCAAAGAGAAGTTTTGGTTAAAGTCAGATGTTTTGCACCAACCAGGTTCTGCCCTTGACTGGCCCCACTTACAGCAAATGGACAGGTGTAGATAAGAGTCCTGACTCAGTTCAGCTCACATGTCCAGCCAATGTGGTAAAACAGGTGCTGGAAAGCTATGTGCCCACACAGAGCCAAAGTCAAGATGTGAGAAGAGAATCCAAGTCAAGTGAAATTATCCAGGGCACCTTCTATGAGCCATGGATATTCCTGACAATGCTCCTATTTGGACTTACTGTAGGAGATTCTAAAACCTACCTTCACATGAGAATTTGAGACCATCTTTCAGTTACTTGCTTCCAAATTAAGTTCTATCTGGGTTAAGTACACTAGATGACAACTTTCTCCAGGGGAGGAAATTCAAAAATTCTTCCACCTCTGCTCCTTTGCAACTTGATCTACTAGCTATGTCTATTTTTACCTTAAAGGGATTTGTTTCTCTTCATGTTCATCACTTGAACATCTTGTCCCACCTGTCAGTCTCCAGCAAAGTTGTGAACTCAGGTCTTCAAGATTTTTCTGGGAAGCCCAAGGCCACCTATTAAGACCAAAGACATTGATTTTGCCTAGCATCCCATGGCACATGTGGTTCAGAATGAGACGAACGCCTGAGAACAGAACAGTCAGGTTACATTTCTCCTTCCTGAACACAGTCAGGACTGTGCTTAGGATTTGATTCCACTGAATGCCCTTTTCCGTTGGACAAATGAAGCCTTGAAACTTGCCAAACCTAACTTTTCCATCTGCATCTCCAGTTTCTCCCTTTATAAAATTAAGCTCTGGTCCTCTGATATTGACAATTGACAATGGATGGAGACCCTCCCCTCACTCAGGGAATGACGTGGATCTGTAGCAATTAGTGTAAAATCTTCAAGGGGAGGATGAAGCTCAGCGATGAGTGTCAGACCCCAAAAACTCTCGCTTTAGATAGTCTTTGCTCATTGCCAATCTTGAAGCATATTCATTCAAATTTTTAGGGGAGTCAGAGCATTTTCTCTGAGTTTATTACAGATTTCTATGTAGTCACGGTTCCAATCACTATCACTTATTTTACTGTGTGCAAGGCACTGAACATTGTAGCAATTGTCTCATTTGATCCTCAAAACAGTCCTGTGGGGTGGAGTGTAAAGTGTATCTTGGTTATTTGGATGAGTGAATGGAGGCAGAGATGGATTATATAAAATGGCCAAGTTTGTACAATGAGCAAGTGATTATGAGGGCAAGATTCAAACCCAGGTGTCTATCTGACTTCAAAGACATCAGAATACACTATTGCACAAGATGTCTCATGATACCGCAGAAAAGGATTTATTTAGTCGACGAAACCTTTGAGGAGCTGTCCACAAAATGGAGTGATAAGAAGTATGCGGGAGAGAGATGACGTGACTCTGTATCCAAAGAGAGAAACAGTTATATTTTAATGATTAAATTAGTTCACATAAGAAACCAATGCCAACCACACTCATAGCGCATCTTTTTTATGGGAAATGACAAGCAGATTCTCCTTTGTGCAGTACCCACAGCAACAGATGGTCCAAAGGAAAGAAACAATTCCATCTGCCAACAGAAGAAATACTGACTTGCTCTGGAAGTGGAAAGATGCAGTTGGGGCAACGTCCCAGACTTGTGCAGTAAGCTCCATTTCCACCTGCCCAAGGAGCAAGCCTCCCCCCACGCACCCTCCCCAACACAGATCTCTTCCCCAGGCCACATCCTACGACTCTTGCTTTATCTGCACGCTGCTTACCTTTGCAGTAGCATTTGGCACCACCTGCCACATCGTCCCTCTTGAAACCCTTGTTTCCCCTCAAGTTCATGGAACCACGCTCACCTGGCATTCCTGAACCTCGCCAGGTCACTCGTTCCTGGGGTCATTTACTGGATCCTCCTAATTATCCACAGCTGTAAACCTTGGGGCTCCCATGGCTCTGCTCTCCCTTTGCGTGTCCTTTAAGCTACACTCAGCATCACTGCTTTAGACACTGCTTCGTGCCGATGGCACACTTGGACCTCCAGCCCAGACCTCAACCTGCCTCGGCCAGTGCCTCTCCACTTGGACGTCCATTGGGCCTCGCAAACCCTAACTCGTCCAAGGCAGGGCTCACGATTCCCCCCAAATCTGCTTCTCCTCCAGACCTCCCCACCTCGCTTGAAAGCAACATTATCTACCTGATGACTTGAGCCAAACACCCCAGATTCATGCTCGATTTTGTCCTCTCCATCAGCAACCACATCCAATCCCCCAACCAGTCTTGTCATCCTTGTGTCCTGAGTGTGACTACCGGCCCAGTGCTTTGGCCACCCCGGGCCCGCCCACCTTCCTCTCTACCCTGAGCTATGGAAACTGCCGCCTAGCGCTCTCCCAATTTCTGTCGCTCAGGGTGCGCGCTTCCTCAGTCAGCATAGCTCTGGTGCATCTCATTTGGCTTCAGCTCAGATGCTACCCCTCCAAAGGGCCTGCTCTGGTTAGCCTCACCCCAGGCTCACCCTGCTTTAGTTTCTTCTCGGCACTTGCTATTTAAAATAACCCCTTAATGTATCTGTTTCATTACCATATTCCCCACTAGAGTAGACACTCTGTAAGACTGGAAAGAATATTAGGTAGTTATTTTTGTTTGAGGCAACAGAAACCGGCTCTGACCAGATTAAGGAGAAAGATTCGCTGAGAGGGCTCTGACTCTTTGAGGTGGAATTTGAATAGGGATTATACTCCTAGTACTACCTGACATATCTTTGAAAAACAAAACATGGCATATAAGCACCAAGAGGCATTTTTTTAAAAACCAGAAATAGCATTTTAAAAAATATTCAGTCCCTTCACAAATATACACTGGGGGGGGTGGGGTGTGTATGAGTGACTTTGGACCTGAAGACTCATGGCCATTTATCCAAATCTGGGCAAAAAAAGAACAATCTTTAGAGAAGGGATAAAAATTCCTGTATAAAAAATATGAAGACAACAATGATGATGAATACAGTCTCTTAATTACATTATTCAGCTAGAAAATTAGACACCAAAATAAAAGAAAATCAGAAAATTATTTATTTGGGGCCTCGTGGCAATGGACTCTAAGCTCTGGTCTAATAAAACATGAGCTAACCCTTGATACTGTAGGAGAAGAAAAAGTTTTTCTTGACTCACTTAGGGACCCTGGCTGAGTCTGAAAATTAAACTGACAAAGACAGGTTAACAGGAGAAAGTATGCAAATTTATTTAATGTAAGTTTTATGTGGTACAGGAGCCCTCATAAAGAAATGAAGAATCAAAAACAAAGGTTAAACCTGAGTGTTTTTATGCCAGGTTGGATGGAGAGTGGAGTCATGGAGAAATATGATAGAACAAATGGGGTATAAGCTAAATGTAATAAGCTGGAGACATTCAGTAAGCCTGTTGATTTGGATTCTTCTCCCTCCATCTGAGAGAAAAGGCTGCTCCTTTCCTCCACGTACAGGGAGGGCACTTCTCCCAGGAGAGTCTTGCAAACTGCTTCAGGGGAGAAGGGCAGGTGAAGGTCAGAGAGGCCTTACATCTTCTGGCATTTTCTCAAACTTCCTCAGCTTAAAATATTCAATATATCAAGGTGCCATGTTTTGGGGTAACATGTTCTGAACACAGTGTCAAACTTGCAATTTATTTTCAAATAAAAAATGCAAAATTTAATTGAAATAATAAGGTGTTTTCCTGAACATCATACAAAATTTCCTTATTTAATAGCTCTTTCCAGATGCTCTTGATATTCAGCACAGTATATTTTTTGGAAAAAGTAATGGCTGAAACACAAATAGTGTTTCATGCTAAAGACTAATTATTACGGTCCTGCCACAGAAAGTTTGCTGGAACTGAATCTTTTCCCTAAGTGACAAAGTTTGGGAAAAAAGCTCAAAGAAACAAGATTTCCTAGTTTTATGAACCAAATTTGATTACCTTCTGGCAGTACTGATGAAAAGCTATGGAGGGGTTGTCAGCTCGACTTTCATTATGAAACAAACATACCCTTACATGGAAAACAAGATTCTACAAAATATTTAATAAAAATTCAAAAATACAAATTTTGAAAAGCATTTTCATTATGGTGTGATTCACCAGTTTCACCCCCAGAGACTCTGGCATCATGCCAGGAGATAATCATCTCCCAGAATAAATACAAAAGTAATGAATGTCATGGAAACCAGGAATGCATGGAGATAAATAATGGGCAAACCGTTCATAATTTCAAATGTCTGTCATAATGTCCCCATGTTCTGACTTGGGGATCCTTCAGGAATTTTCAAAATTGGAATATCAAAGTGATATTCACTTCCCTTGCCTAGCAAGCAGCAAAGTTGGCTGATAGGGGTTTTGATTCCTTTCCCTTCTTCAGCCCACCCCTGACAGCTTCTGGAGATCAGGAAACGCACACGGGTGGTCTGCAGTCAAGAGCTGTCTGTAATTTCCTCATCCTCTTCTGCTCCTTGAGAGAATACTTGAAGGAACACTTCATATTGCATATTAAGACATCAGATATTGCAATTTCCTCTGGAAAAAAAAAGCGAATGTCACTGCACATTACAGTCAATCTCATTCTTTAAGAGTTACTTCCAAGATAAAAAATATGACCTGGGTATGGAGGAGAAACAACGCCAGGTAAGACCATGATTAAAAGTCAAAAAGGGATTGGGCTCATAAATAATGGAAAACAAAATAATAGTGGCAGGTTGGCATTAAATTCTAAAGTGCTTGAGAGACTGAAAGAATTTCTTCCTGTGCATAAATATGGAGAACCTTTAACATAAACAACCACAGAAATAAAAAGCTAATAGAAGTTTATTTTTAAGGCTGTAAATAAAACAGGAATGGGAGCCTTTAGAAAATAAGGACATAGGAGCTTCCCCTTCTATTTTGCCATGTAGGGAGTTGAGAATAAAAAGCCTCCACCGGGGTTGAAGGCAGGATGAGTTGCCTGCTCCCTGGGCTCTGCCTCAGCCTGGCCCTTCCTGGCAGTGGGGACTGTGGAAAGAGGGAGAAGAGCAGACTCTGGCAGCCACCACTGAACCCGAGCCAACACCAGCTCCAGGCAGTTCTCAGGTCAGCATGATGCCAACAGACAGCGTCTTGTGCTCACACGGAAGCCTGGGCTTGAGGGACCAATGGTGGGTAGAACTGGAGCCTCTCCCAAAGACACATTCACCAATGACCTGTGAATGTGAACTTATTTGGAAAAAAGGGTCTTTGCAGATGTAATTAAATGAAGGGTCTTGAGATGCAATCATCCTGGGCTACCCAGATAGGCCCTACATCCAATGACAAATGTCCTCACAGGAGACAGAAGACAAAGGAGAGGGCCAAATGAAAGTGGAGTCTGGCTGGAGTGACAGCCACGGCCATCTTTGTAAAGATGGCACCAAAGTTCCTAGAAGTTCAGGCCTAAGTTTATACTTGGCAGGATTGCTTGTTCAGCTTCACAAATTAAGGCCAACTAGCTGGATGCCGTGGTTTGTAGGGGAGGGAAAGTATCTTTTTTCTTTACCCATCTATGTTCTTGACTGGGACCCCTGTCACCAAAGACAGATTAACAAGAGAAAAAACACGCAAATTTATTTAATATCAATTTTACATGACACAGAAGCCTTCATAAGGAAATAAAGACCCCCAAAAAACAGCTCAACCTGAGTATTTTTAATGCTAGGTTTGATGATGAGTGGAGGGTACTTCTCACATGAGGATTTTATGGCTGGCTTCAGGTCAGAGAGCCCTTCCTGCACAAGCCATTTCTCAAATTCCTTCAGCTTGAAATGTCCATTATGCCAAGGTGCCATATTTTGTGGATAACATGTCTTGAAGGCCATCAGATTCTTAGGATGCTTGTTCCAGTCCAAGATTCTCTACTTGATTAGTAAACTTAAGCTGATTGTACTCTTCTGGAGGACAGGTTTCTGCCCCCCCAAAGGTGTTCAAGGACCACTGTCAATGTGCACTCTGATTTTGATCATTGTTCTGTCACCCTTATCAGCTCTACAGATGTGGACTTCTCAAATTACATACAGAGAGAAGCTCTCCAGTTTTCTTTTTTTTTTTTTTTTAAGATTTTTTATTTATTTATTTGACAGAGAGAGAGAGAGAGAGAACAAGTACGCAGAGAGGCAGGCAGAGGGAGAGGGAGAAGCAGGCTCCCCGCCGAGCAGGGAGCCCGATGCGGGACTCGATCCCGGGACTCCAGGATCATGACCTGAGCCGAAGGCAGACGCTTAACCAACTGAGCCACCCAGGCGCCCCAAAGCTCTCCAGTTTTCTAAAGGTCCATAAATTAAAGGCCTACAGGCTAACTAAATGTTCGATCTCAAATGTTCCTTGCCCTCTTACAGGATTAAATTTCTCTGGCCTGTATGGGATGAGTAGGCATGGCAGGCAAGAGTAATTTGGTACAAACTCCTGGATCATGGCTGACCTCTGTATCACTTTCTGGAGAAATTGGTCCAGGCTAAAGTAACCTTTTCCTTAGTTTTTAGTTCCATGAAGAAGAATCAGTTGTGGCCTGTCTCCTCCAGCTTCTTTATTACAATCTGGCTACCTGAAGCAAACAAAGAATTATTGGAAAAAAATATTAGGTAACTCAGAAGCCCAATAAGAAAGCTGGAGAATTAGGCTTGTGAAATAGGCAAAACCCAAGATAAAGGCACAGTCAGATAGCCGGTCCTGCTGTCATTGCTGAAAACTTCTCTGGTCCCTTGACTCAGCTGCCACTGGTCACTGTCATCAGGTACCGACGATGGTGCTGACCAGCACAACTACTGAGAAGCAAATCTTATGGGCCCTTCCTCTACCTACCACGTACTTAGATTTAAAGTTTGATTTGCAGGCGGCGAGCAAGGCCTATCTGGTGGGCCTCTTCGAAGACACCAACCTGTGTGCTATCCATGCCAAACGTGTAACAATTATGCCAAGATACATCCAGCTAGCGCACTGCATTGCTGGGGAACATGCTTAAGAATCTGCTATGATAGAAAACGTGGCATTCTTTAAAATTTGGTTTTTTTCTTCTTCCTGTTATTGGTATTTCTTCCTGTTATTGGTATTTTTTTTCCCATGGGGTCAAAAGGTACCTAAATATGTGATTGCAAGTGGAAAAATAGGGAACAGAAATCAGGTATTGGCAGTTTTTCCATTGCCATGTGTATGTGAATTTTTAATATAAATGCAGGGACATAAAGCATTCATGTAAGTCAGGATACTTCAGTGAACATGTTTCAGCAGTTCAACTCCATAACAATTATGAATAGACCTGTTACATATTTTTGGACAATGCCAGAATTTGGATTTTTTAAAAACAAGTACATTTCTTATTGACAACAACTAAATGGTGTTGGCAGCATTCTATCATGCAGTAGATTGCATCCATTCACTATACTTTTCTAACTGACTTGTCTGACATGCAAGCACATGTTTTTAATGTTGTCTCTCTTCTGTGCTATTCCTGTAAGTTTGCTATTTAAATACATTAAACTATAAAAAATAAAAAAATAAAGTTTGAATGTATATTTAGCCAAGTCATGTGCAAGGAAAGGATGGCGCTCTCCAAACTCATGGCTTCTCCAATGGTTCCTTATCAGCCACCAAGACTCATACAATGAGGGATTTCCCTATCCCAGAAATCTCAACAGCCAAAAATTGTAACAAATGGGCTAATCTCCATGGGTTCTATAGAGGCTGTGGTCATTTCTGTCTATCTAGAACTTAAAGAGCACTTATATTGAGACTCAGATTGGAAGAAACAGATTAAACACTATTATCTTGTTCTCCTTTTAGCTTATGCTTAATATCACTTTAGAAAGAGCACATCACACCACTAAGCCTCCCCACTCATGTAAAAAACGCTGAGCAGTCTCTTAGATGCGGGTAATGGGGCTGCACCATCACAAAGTAGAGTAGTCCTAAGCAACACCTCCCTACTTTTCTAAAGTCACAGACACACGTAGACAGCGTTAACATTTGTAAGGTACATTAAAGTAAACAGATGCAGTTGTTGGGTTCCAGGCATTCGATCTGGGGATGTGCCCAGATGATCCAGCTGGCTGAGGTCACCTTAACAACTGTGCATATCTACATCTTAGTTCACCTTACTTCACCCTAGGCCCTCTAATATCTATCCCTGGATTCGGCCTGGCTAGTAGGGACCCGAGTACTGGAACCACACTATTTTTACCGAACTGATCTTTCAGGCAGCGCCATTAGGGTCTACTGGAGGTTATTAGGAAGAGACGGTTCGTACTGATTCATTCCCGTATAGGCTGTACAGATGGCTGTCCATTAAACCACACATATCCTCTCAGTTACAGCCCACAGGAGAACTTTCTTTCTGATCTCAGTATCAAGAAAAGCTGTGTGCCCTTGAGCACCTGTTCTCTTGTTTTATGTCACGGACAGGACACTGTAAATCTTGTAATGGATCAAATTTCTCTGCTAGACTGGCTCTGGGAAGGATGCAATAAAATTTGAAGCCTGTCGCTAACATGTTTATAGGACTCCAAGGCATGTGTCTTTTGTACTAACCCCACACACGGCAGCCTGCCTTAAAAGTCTTGACCAAAAAATTGTACGTTCAGCTAAGTCACATCTAAAAGGTTAAGTTCTCCAAGGTGCAAACTATAACTTACTTATATATATATACACTCAAACTTACAGCTCTCAGTAAGTTATTGTAGATAAAAATATTATCACAACAATGTGACTATACTTAATGCTACTAAATTGTGTACTTGAAAATGGCTAAAATGATAAATGTTATGTATAATTTATCACAATAAAACATTTTTAAAGCTATCTGTTAAGATAAAAAAAAATACTCTGTAGTTCTATTAAATCTTAAGCTTCTTAAAAGAAAGAACTATCTTATTTATCTTTGTGTCATACCTTTCACTCCACCAGGGCCTACAATAACAAAAAGGACACATCTGGTGTTTGATATGTTTCTTGAATTGAGTTTCCTGAAGATATAAGTAGACTTTACATGTAGGCAGTTGCTTATGAGTATGATTTGGGATTCCTGAAGGTTCTGGTAAGTATCTCCCCATCATTTGTGCTAACTAAACTTCCTACCATTCCTTTAGGTTAAGCCCATATTAAAAGGCAGATATCTCATCCAAAGAGAGAAATATTTTTTGAATGCATAGTTTTTAAAGCTATCTTACTAAGAATGTGGCTCTGGGGAAGGGAGTTGCAAAACAGATGAATTTGGGGTTGAAGCTAAAGTTAAGAAGAGAAATGGAGACAGTATTTCAGAGAGGGTACATTCTAAAAGATAGCAAGCCTACAAGGTCTGGTGAGAGGGAGGATCCATATACTCTAGTGGAAAGCCATGAGCTTGTAAAGATTTTTTTTTAAAGCAATCTCTATACTCAACTTGGGGTTCAAATTCACAACCCCAAGATCCAGAGTCACACATTCCCCCCGACTGAGCGAACCAGACAATCCAAGCCATAAGTTTGTAGAAGGCATATAAAAGCATTCACAGTATGATCCTGGGAGAAAAGGACATTCCA